GCATCTTTCAGGAATTATCCACTACGTGCAACTGAATTCATGGTATTCAATGTCTGTCCTCAACAATTCTGTTACAGGCAGACTAGAAATGAGGCCTAAGGGCAGTCAGTCTCGAAGCTTTATTTTAAATATTATCCTCTCAAAATAATTTATAAGGTGAGGGAAATTTTCCCTTTTTTTAATAATCCAAATAGAAAATACCTGATTCACTAAGGCACAGCCTAGCAATCAGTTTTGCTTTCAAATCTGAGGACTCAGTGGAAAACCTCTGATTGTGCAGTAACTGTGAGCTCTTAAATGGCCCAGGATGGGCAGGATTGGCAAGAAAAACTCTTTAAATGCCCCACTGCTGACAAGAGGATCTGCCTGTCATGTGCAGCTGAGGCACAGCCACTACTGCTTTTTATTTCTTGTAGGAGGTTTTGCACCTGCAGACAAACGGTTGGAGTCACTCATTGCTGTCATGAGCTAAAACAACATTGTAAAAGCTTGGCTGTCTCAGGTACCACAATGAAGTGATCAAATACCCCAGCCTTGCACTATCCTTCCCAGTTTAAGGCAACCAGGACTATTGGTTTTGCTACATAATGATTTATTTTAGATATAAACACACAGAGATTTATGCATATTTCATATTAAAATACCAGCAGGACGTTGCTTTGGAAATCGTGGTTATCTCCACTTCCACCTGCAAACTCTGATATCACATCTAATCATTTGTGTCTATTTCTATCCTGCATCTTTCATCTGCTGCTGCTGTTGAGCTGACTCAGAACCAAATCATCAGCAAACCTCACCATCACCTAATTCTTCAGTGCTCTCCCATGCAGGAGGAAGGAAAAGAAAAAAGAAATAAAACTGTCCCTTTAAAAACCCAAGCATTTAAGCTGCTTGTCAGTCGTCTTCCTGACAAGGCCACTTGAATGTATTCAGGAATATTTGCATAAATGCTCACAGTGAGTTCACCCTGGCAGCTAGTGCTAATGGTACATAAAGTAATTTAGTCACTTCTCTTAGGCATCCTGTCAGGGTGATAAGCACCCCCTCTTTGCCTTGTTGCATATTAGATCATTAGATAATAAAGTGTTAGAGCATGCAAACTGACAGGGTCTCAGGGACTATCATTTTTCGAGGGCATTGCATTCTGCCAGCGAGGAAAAATAATAGAGAAACTGATGCTGCAATTGGCTTTACATTCTTGCAAAGACATTCAAAAGATTTGAGGAGAAAAAAGAATTTTTACTTTGCAATGATATGAGAGTTTTAACTGGAAACTTTGCAGTGGATTTATTGCTGGTAAACTTGAAAAGAGTTGTTGCAATGCCTGCCAGAACTCTCCCCTTCCATAAGTTCATCACTTAAATTTCATTGGGAAGATTTTGCTTTTAAAATTGACACCCTGGGATGAACTACAAGCTGAAATATATCCTACTGTTGGGGCCTGTTGGCTCTTGACTATACATCTTACTATATATATAATTTGGAAAGGTCAACCACACCGGCTTTCTGGTTTACCAGAAATATAAAACCAGTGAGGATCCAACTATTTGTGAATGAAAAAGTGATAATTATTGAAAACCACAGATTACTGTGGCTTACCCTATTTATACCACACAGACATGGATGAAATAATAATTGGCCTCTGCCAGGATATTACTTTTAAAAGATAGGTAGATATATTTATTTGAAAGATTGGCTGCTTAACCCACGCTTCAAGGGGGCAGCATGTGGACACAAAACTAGGATCTGGGGTCCTGGTTATATTCAGAGAAAGAAGCTACAAAAAAACCCCTTCACTTTACTGACTGAAAAGTCTGACAAGCAAGATATAAATAAAGATGTGTTGGATGTCCCAAAAATAATCCAGACTACCTGCTAATGAGATGGTAAAACCCAAATGTGGAGACACCAGGCTCCTGAGTGGCTCGAGAGGTGCAGCTTTCTTTCCAGGTTTTTGGCCCCCAAAGTGTCTTTTAGGTGTCACATAAACTGTAACTCCGTGTTTCAGAGCAGCAAACACGAGATTGTGAGGAAAAATAAGCTGGATATTGTCTAAGTAAACTCAACAACCAGCACACCTTTCTACATCCTGTCTCCCCTTTCCCCAGCCCTCACAGTCAGGCATTCATCTCCATTGCCATCAGGAATTTGTGTTACGAAGTTAAACGTCTGGGAAAGTCCACAGGAATACATTTGGTCAAGGGTATATTTTAGTCAGATCCCAGATTTTACAAACCTGTGATGAGCAGTTGCTCACCAGAGCAATGAGCCAGAGACAAACCATGACTACATTCCCTTCCCATCTCCCTGCTCATGGATACAGCTCAGGTCAATCTGTCCTTCCCCGAGGGAGGCAGAAAAGCTGGGGAGAGGAGAGGCAAACAAACAGCCTCTCATACTATGCAAAATAAAAATTCCAAAAACTGGAGAAAAATAATACATCTTCTGACTCAAAGTGAAAGCAAAAAATTATTTCAGTGGAGGAAACTGTCATCTGTTCTAATGGGTCTTGTCCAAAATTCAATAGCATTAAACCTTTTTCTTTCTTTTTATTTATTTAGTTAAGTGTTTTAGATACTTAGTAATATCATAACAACAGTTATGGATTTTTGAAATTTTTTTCCTGTTTCTTGGACACATGTTCAGAGAATTCCTAGAGAGCTGGACTGAAGGATTTGAGTTAAAAAGAAAGGCTCCACCAAGCCTTTGGGAAGAGAACAATTTTGTAGTATGAAGGTTGCTATTCAAAAGTAAGAATTTACTAGCAGTTGCTTTATGAGGTTGCTTGAGAGGTGCCTGAGAAAGCAGATTAGAAAAATCACCTTTCCCACAAAATGTACACATGGAGATATTTTGCAGATGTTGACTTTTAATATCAGCACAGTAACTCAGGTGTGTGCAGCTACGTAAGCAGAGAATTATCTTTTTTTTTGTTGCTTTTTGCCAACAGAATCCCCCAGGTTGTAGGAGTGGGAACGACAGCTGTGGTAAAATGAGATACCACCATGCATGAGAATAAGGGCATTTATGTAAGAGAAATTAAGTACTGCCTCAACCAAAAGCATGCACTGAGAAGACTGCAATGGGGAAAAAAGAAAAAAAAAATATGGCAACTACTTTAGTAGGAATATAAGAAAAAAAAAAAAGGAGTGTTTTTTTTAAGACTAGACTTAATGGAAAGATTACAAAGTTGAACAGAAAGAAGTTTCCCTTTGTAATGCCTTCTGCTAATTAATAAAGACAGAGTTCATACATTCCTTATAAATTTCAGTAAAAATTATGACAGTGGTTTGTTTATTAAATTAGGTTGTTGGCAGGATGAAAAAAAAAATTCTATAACATGAATTATGGCTGAAAATGGCTCGTAGCCTACATAAAAAGTTAGAGCTAAATAAATACAGATGTAAGTTATGTTTATATAATGAGAAACGCTGCTGAGCTAAGAATTTTAGGTTAGTAAGTGTGAACTACAGACCCGATTCTGCAAACACTTATCAATACCCTCAGCTTCTCTGACACAAGAAGCCTCATTGATCCCAACAGGACCATATGTGAGCATAATCTTAAATATATGCATAAGTGCTTACAGGACTGATGCCTGAAAGCATAAACAGAATAGAAAAGTATTTCCACAGGAATCCACTGAGCAGTAGAAACCCACACATTTTCCCATTTCTCAGCATTAATAATTTCTTTTAACATATCTAGTTAACATTTCTCTGAGTGGCATTTGCTTTCCCAGAGAAATTTTTATCTGGTTTCTTCAAACTCTTTGGAAAAATCTATTTAATTATTCATCAGATCCTTGGCAAATATTTGTGAAACAAACCAGCATAAAGGACTGGTGCCTTCTACACTCAGCTACTTCAATGGCAGCTGAGGGTACACATCTCTTAGAGGGAGCAAGCACCTATTGAATTTAGGATTACAAACAGCTTTGAAAACAAAGAGCTATTCTACCAAGCTGGAACAGGGAGAGGGGAGTGAAATGCCCTCTGTTTTTGTTTTGTTTTTCAGCAGTAGTCATCAACTTTGAGGACAAAGAGCAAAACAAAACATTAATCAAATCCAGATTTTTCAAAGTACATTTGCACTCAACAACTCCCATTTTAAGCACCTACAGTCACCAGCAGATGTTCCCTTCCAGGACCAGCTGACCTTACAGAAGAGATTACTGTCCCCAGGCTGCTTCCAGCCACGTGCCCCCATCCCACCCTTGCTGGAGCTTACTGTGCTTCCAGAAAAGCCAAACTGCCTTGCACCATTTCTCCTTCAATCATTTCAGCAACAAGCCATATTGGCAAAGAGTGATTATTTAAATGGTTTAATTCAAATGAACTTCACTGGCCTGGAGGAGACCAGGGAGCAAGTACACAACCATCCTAGCTGGCATGCCATGGTGAAGAATAGCCTGGAGCAGGGAGGGGAGACAAACAGCTGTGGGAAAAGCAACGTCCTCAGCTGGCACAGCTGGAGCCAGAAAAGAACATTCATCCATGGCTTAAGTAAGCAGATGGATTTCCAAAAGGGCTCTGCTTTCATTTAGGGCAATTCAAAGGAACAGAAGAATCTCCTAGAGAGCTCAGCACCCTATAGATAGAAGAAATGCAATCCAAAATTTGGGTGCTGAGAACTTCAGAAAATATGCAACATCCTGTAGATGCACAGTCAAAAATCAGGGCAGTCTGGAAAAAAAATCAGACTCCAATTTTGGGTGCTGAATAAATGCAACCAACATGCAAAAAAAATCACTCCACTTCACTGACACACAGAACAACCTCTGCACCCATGTTTGCTTACTTGTTTGTCATTTCACTACATTTAGAGCTGACCTACTTGAAAAATTCCTCCTTTGGTCTGGAGGCCAGTCCCTTTCAAATGTCTGGCCCCAGAGATAATAAATGCTTACAGGACAATTTTGAAAGCAGCAGCCAGAGACACAAACCAAATAAATCCACATTTAAAGTAGCAATGCCAACCAATGAAAATGATTTGCCTACCATGTTCCAGATAAGAAGGCGTACCTTCCGAGGGATCGAGTCTTCGAGCTCTCCGCCCGTGCTTGGAATTGTTGTGCACAAACATATTGTCTGACACTGCCAGCACATGGCCATCAACATTGACTGTTGTAGACACCACGACCTGCAAGCACAAGAGCAAGATGGAGGAAAATTTGGATAAATCCGTGTGTTTTTTATAAAGCGCAGAGTGTAATAAACTCAGTTAAATAAATAACAGCTGGGAGCTGTAGAAAATTGCAAAGCTATTTCACATAATAACTGGTGCTTATGCTGTACAAATCTAACAAGAGGCGCTATTGATGAGCGGGTCTCTGGCATCGAAAGCTTTTGATGCAGTTTTAAGTCAAATTGCAGAGTTTGTAGCTGCGTGGCAGACAGCACACTGTTAACCATCACTTTAACAAGAGGATCTTTATTAAGTATTTTTTTCCCCTATATACAAGGGCAGCTGTGTTTCACCCTAAATTATCCTTCAGTTTCCACGCTGAAGTAGATAGAGATGTTGACATTGCAAATGAGAATCGATTCAGAATAAAAGAAAACAAAAGTGTATTTTGTGAAGTTGTAACAAGAGTTGTTGCCTGCCTTACCCCCACCCTTCTCTGCTGCTCTCCCCTCAGCGCAGTCACTGCAGGTTGTTGGATTTGCCCAAATTTCTCTGGAGCTCTATCTTAAGGAGTATGTATCGGCATGTTTGTGTACACACACACACGCTTGACAGTGGGGTCTTGATCTGGAGAACACAACCCTATTCATCCAGTGTTAGAATTATTTGTATTTCTCAACTTATCTCAATGTCAACACCTGGGATTTGATTTGAGGCGAGGTGAGGGAGACACAGCAGGACTGCACTGGAGGAAGGATTAGACACTTCTGCTCCCCAGAGCCGCCCAGGGCAGGAGAGGAGCCAACCCAGCAGAGGCAAACGGGTAAATGATGGGTCCAGAGTAGAAGACCCAGCCACTCCAAGGTGTCCAGAGGGACTGCTCAACCCTGAGGCTCCCAAAGGAAATCCCTGTCCAGGCAGAGGGCACGTGAGCCATGGAATGTCATGGAGAAACAAGTCCCTTGCAGAGCTGTGAGCTCATCACAGCACATCTCCTCCTACCCCATTCAGACCAAGCAGTCTGAGCCTCCCTGGCTTTCCTTCAGCCACCCCTCCCACAGCCTCTTCCCAGCAAAAGTATGGCATTCCCAGGGTTTTACCCCAGCCAAAGATTTGGCCTTCAGCTGGCTGCTGGTTTTCCAGGAGCACGCGCCGCCTTCGAGAACTTTGACTAAAACAATAAGAAGAAATGACCTACACTTCTCCTTACATTAAACAGGGAAAGGGATTAAAGACTGAAACCCACAGAGATATGTTTATTCATGCGACCTCTTACAACCAAATATAATAATTGTCTGTTAATTGCAGTTTCAGCTCCCACCTCATGCTTCGACATGTGAAACAGCAATCAGCAGCTCCTGTTTAATCCACCTATTATGTTGACTAATTAACTTTGCTCGACAGTTTATTTCTTCCTCCATTATCAGCCCCTGTCAGCCGCAAGCACAGTGCCGCAAAGGGGGACCTCAGCCCTTTTGATTGATCACCGATAGATTGACATGCAGATTAATTTAATTAGAATCACCTCACTCGAGAAATGAAAGACAATGGCAAGGGGGCTAATAGATCTGCTCTTATAATGAGGCAAGCCTCCAGAGCCACAGCAGAGGATTTCTGATTTATTTTGCTGAATTCCCCAGTCGCTCTGAAAGGCTCTCGCTTTAATTGTTCTTGGTTTTGAGAGGCTTTAGCCTCTGAAGAGGTGAAATGCTTTACAAGGATTGGCAAACATTGCTTCAACTCTCTCAGGAAGCTGCTGCCTCTCAAAGTTGGTCAAATGGGGACACTTAAAGGATCGCTTACAACTATTCAATTTCATCACTTGAACTGGAGCTAAAAAAAAAAAAGAAAAAATAGAGTGAAAGGAAAAATTTTCTACCTATTTCTGGCCCCCAATTAAAATACTCAAAAAGTAAGCAAAGCCACTAAACTGCCCAGAGCAGATCCTGAAATCTTTCTCTGGAAAAAGAGGAATACAAAAGAGAATATTTTACATCTAAAAGATCCTAACCCCATCCCTCAGAATGGCATTCCAAGCAATAGACTTTTGTGCGTGTTTTAAGTGAAAGATATTAAAATACAGAATAAATGATTCAAGAGCTCCTACAGATGGAAATTTGGGAAAAAGAAAGCACCAAATACTACAGATACATTTTTCTGAAATCAAACTAAGGAGAGAAAAAAACCAAAGCCCTATATATAAAATTCCAAAAGGGATTTCAAAAGTAATTTATCCATTGAATTCCTGAGGGGTAGAATAAAGTTTATGATATTTTCAATAAAATATGATCTTATAGTAAGTGGCTCGGGGTTCAAAATCTTATTTGTGCACTTGCAACCATTGTAAATTCTTTGCAAGTGGGATTTTGAACCAAACCCTTGGCACTGCCTGTCATAGCTCCATGATTTATGCCAGCTCCTTATCTTCTTCTAGGGGTCTGATTAGGTGCGTATGAAAATTAACAAAATTACAATTAATAACAATGGCTACAAGATAAAATATTTTCCCCAATTCCAAAACCCTATAGGTACACACAGACTTCACACTGAAGCTGATCAAACCTGCGCTGAAACCAAAACTTTAAGCATTTTTAGAAATTTAGGGATTCCAGAAAAATAATGAGTCAAGAGTAGTGACAGTAAGGTAGTTCTTGAAGCTGTGAAAATCCTGTATCTAAGTAGCTGTTGCTATACATGCAACTTTCTAGGTAAGAACTTGAGGAAACAATCCTGTTGAGGTTTTATGTGAGTAAAGCTACATTTAATTTCCCCCTCCTCTGATTTTCAAAATAGTTGATGCAACATATTTTGAATTACTTAGCAATATCTTCCTACCTCCCTCCTGAACAGTTTGATTTACTATGAAGAGACCACATTGGTGTGGCTCTTTCGTGTCGTTAGCAGCAGAAACTATAAATGGAATCCCCCAGTGAAACTGTTTCTAGTCTCAGGAAATGCAGAAAAAAAAACCTCTTATGTGTCTGTTTGGAAAAAAAAAAAAAAAGATTATTCATAGCACACCTGTAAGAAGCAACAGGCTCTTGCTGCTCAATTCTTTAAATGAAAATTCTCATTAATGGAGGAACACTGAATGTGCACTGCACCAAAGAAATATTAATGCCTCTAATTATTAATAGTGAAAAAATGCACCTCAAATATTGTGTGCCACAGTCACCTACTTGGATTGCTGCAGAGCACTTACATACTTACAAGTTCTACTCATATTTTTTAATCTAAAAAAATACTACACTCTCCTCATTTTGATTTTGAAACGACTGGGATATGTTCAAGTTAAAGCACATGCTAAAACTAATTTGTGGAGAAATCATAAAATTAGGGGGAGGGGACAGCCAGAGTACATGTGGAATGGGCACCAAGGCATCCTAAAACACAGACTGTAGCAAGAGGGAAAGGCACACTACAGTTTAATAAATGATTAATGAGGTGCTGACACATTAATGTAAGCACAGGGACAACCAGGTCTGCCAAATCTCAAACCTTTCCAAATTTTGTCAACAAAACACAGTTTTAATTTGAGACAGGCAAACACGGAAAATGATTTTGAGCTTTAGCTTTAGCCCTTCACAGATTTTGAATTTAAATCCTGTATCAACACCAGGGGAGACAGAGGTATGAAAGAAACACATGGGTTTACAACTTTCTTCAATGAAATTGGCACTATTGAATGCAGTAACATATCCCAGCTCTGTGGATTATTCTGCCTGCCATTAAATAGTTCAGTTTGTGAATACTTTGGAGCTTAGATTTTTTTTTTCTTTAAATATTCAGAGACCAGGAGCCTGGAGATCAAGCTATTTATCCATGTTTAGCACTCGGCCTGTTTATTTGGTATAGTACCTCACCTAATATATCAAAATTAAGCATTGCACAACTCCTGATTTTTAACCACAGCCCATTAAGCTTTGCTCACTGATTAAGACATAGCATTTTCCTTGTGCTTTCAATTTTCTCCAGTGTATGGTGAAGGATCTGATATTTTTGCAACATCCCCAATACCCAGTGGCAAAGGCAGAGAAAATCTAGCTAGGATGATTTCCAGGTCTGAAGTGTGTCCTAAGTGTTAAATATGTAACTCCAGTGCTTGCCACTCTTCTGAAAGCTATAAATGGCTCAAGCACATCTTTATTTTCATCACCACTTGGTGACCTCTTCCTACAATGTGTTGACTTCTTTATTCTAGTAACTAAAAATCACTCTCCATTTAACAAGACACTTCAAAAGGTGCCTAACTAAGAGCACATAAGTACAATACATTCAGTAATTTTGCTCACGTGCTCAAGGACAGGCCAGGCACTTAATTACCTTGTTGAATTGGGCCATAGCTCTCACTGCTATTTTTCAGTCTCTTTTTCTTTTTTTTTTTTTTTTGCCTTTCTCTTCTCTGGGGATGGAGCCTTGCATGTCCAAATTCCATTATCTGGGATTCATGAAGCATCATCTCTGTCTCTTATGCAAATTTGCAATAAGACACAAGTGGCTTCAATTCAAACATGAGTGGCAGCATCCCATGGAGGCAAACGAGCAGCCTCTGCTGCAGGAGAGGCTGTGGTAGCAGAATCAAACAGCATGGCAATCTCTAAGTGACTTTCAAGGTTTTCATAATAAGTGAATGTTTGGGGTTTCGTTCAGTGACACAGCCTGAAAAGTTTCCTCTAAATTAAAACTTGACATGTGTCAGTTTACAAGCAGTTGTGCTAAAACAAGAACAACAAGACAGCTAGGGCGCCTGGGTTTCATTAATTACAATAACATACAAAACTGTTTAGGTTGTATGAATGAGTTTTTAGTTTTGAAAAATCAAATCTAGGCAGAGTTCAATCATGACACCATCTACTTAGTAGCAGTATTATTATTACCACTAACTGAGGCACTACAGCCCATCCCACCAAGGATGACGACTTATTGTGATGAAGAATTCACAACCAGATTGAGCAGCTGCTCTGGAGGATTTCTGGAATAACATGGCAAGGTTGGGCAAAGGTGATAATACACAACAGCACCAAATGTTTTGTGCAATTGGGCTGATGAAACATGGAGATGAAATTATTTTCTCAAGGACAAGCAGGAGTGTGAAGCACAGATGAAGTACTGTGCAGTACTTGACTTCTCCCTGACTGTCTCCTTGTGCTAATAGAGACACAACAAACACAGCCAGGGCCAGCACTGCTCCAGCACACACACTCTGCTGGCACTCCACACCACTCCACTTGTCACATGCCTGGACATCTCAAACATGCAGAGAAATTTATTTCCTTCCAGGCCCACAACAGCTTTTATGTTAGACTTATCACACTCCTACATTTGCAAGCAAAGTTCAGGATAAAACCTCCTAAATTCACTTCTGATTGTGAGCCTGAATCAACACACACTCTGCCTCCTCCCTGTACTTTCTTAACATGTCTTGTATCAGATGATAATCAGACAATTCCATGCTACAGGGGAAAAAAACAAACTTCTAAAAATCTAGTAAGAAAGGAAACTTTCTACAGGACTGGTCCTTAGATAGTGCAGGACTCACATCCTTGACCCTCCACTGATTCTCCCATCAAAACCATAATCTGTGTTCTAAGAACTTCCAGCAACTTTTGGGGACTGAAGAAGGACAGACCAAAAGTTGGAAATGTCTCTTGGCAGCTTCAAAGTCCAGCACAAGTAGGGGAATGAAGGAAGGGAATGTCTCCATTTTTGTGTGTATAAAATGAGTACTATCTAAAAGTATCTGGAAATACCTTATCTTTATGGTTTTTAACCAGAACTTTGACATCACCACTGGAGACCTTGTAAGTCTCTGGCAACAATTCAAAGGCAGCTGACAGCAAACACAGGGGCACAGATTTCATTTGGTTCCTACACAACACTGCCTCAAAGACCCAGGAGCACCACAGCATTGAGATACTACATGTACACTTGGTCCTTTTCACCCTAAGAAATGATAAATGAAGTTTGGACTCTGTAGAGCCCAGCTGTTTTGTTTTAAGAAGTCTATTGCTAAAAGACCAAGTTTTTAAAAAAAGAAAAGGGAAGAAACAAAAGCAGCTATTGTAAAACAATAAGCCTGGGCACTGAAGAGAACGCTGCAAGCTTCAATGCCACCCTATATGAGAGTAGGAGTGGTTTGCTCGGCTGAAAGTGATTAATTTCTTGAAAATGCTGAGGTCACGCTAATTGACATGACCTGTGTAATTAAGCAGTCTCTGTTTACACACGGAAAGCTCAACTGCTGTGAAGCTGGGTTTGTATGACAGAATGTCTTTACAAGTCAAGAGATCAACAACCTTTCCTATGTCCTACTTCCCCGCCGACACAGCCCCTGATTGCTGTTCTGAGGGAACACGCACAGGCATTTCCATATGAAAATCAGCCTGGAGCCTGGGCGAGCACAGCCCCAGCAGAGTGTACATGTTGTGAAGCAAGCTCTGACAGGCCCCAGGGGTGACTGCTCGGACTAAATCCCCGTGCTGGTGAGAGCCCTTTTCCCACATTCTCTTTCCGTGATAATGCCCTCTGGAATCACAGGAGAATCGTGACAGAGGGAGGAGTGTGGGGTGAGAAGCTGAGGGCTCTGCCATGCTAATGCTGGCTTTTACACTGATTAATTTAATCCCTGTGGCCACATCTCCTCACTTCTGCACTTCCCTGCTCAGAGGCAAATAGCACCCTTCTGCCTTCCAGCATTGCTGCAATTAAGCAGTTCAACAAAAGACATTCTACATATAAATAATATTGTCACTTACATAACATTCAACACTTGTACTGAAGTGCAACAATGCTGGAAAAGAAGCAAACAAGGTTCTGAGTGACTACAGAAAGCAGATATATTTTGGAGTTGTCTTTCTCCAGAGACCCATGTGATCCATGGGACAAATCTCTTGTTTCTTCCTCAGAACCCTGAGGCAAAGCCTCACAGACAGATTCTACCATGTTTGCTCCATGGGCTGTATTCACTCCTCCCACCAAAAGAGAAGGTTCTTTGACTTTCTATCCCATATTTTTATTCAGCATATACCCAGCTAAAGCATTATTGCCACAGTCAAAGACCATGTCTTCAATACAAATGTTGGAACAATTATTCCTCAGCATTGCCACCACTCCACTCTGCTGCCAGCACTGGGGAAGTGCAGAGGTACAGACCACCTTCCCAAGGGACAGCAATGCTCTTCATCCAAAAATGAGTTGTGACACAGCTGGACCACAACAAGATGTCCTTGGCCATCTAAAGCTTTGTTGATATTTCAGCTCCCAAGCCCCAGTGCCACAAGATGCAACAGTGGGGAAATACCAGCCCAAAGCATCCCAAGAAAGAGACACCCAGTGGTAGCTTTTTCCAAGTGCTCACTACAGGGACAGACCTTCATCCCATCGATGCACGTTTATGAGTCTTTTCCACTGCTCAGGAGTAACACATGCCTGATTTTATTAATTGCTCTTACACCTTCCTCTGCCCCAGCCAATAAACGAGATACCCACTTGGTGTCTGCATGAAAACAAATAGTTCCCCATGGAGAGAGAAGTATCTCAGAGCAGGGGAGCCCAATAGCTGAAAACAACACAGAGGTCATTTTGATTTTTCCTTTTCATGCTTTCCCTTCCGGTGGAGATGACATTATCTTCAAGAGTGCTCTCTTCCAGAGCAAGAAAACCCAACTACTTCCTGACAATTCTGCTGTGACAAGAAGTCCTCAGGCATTATTTTGTGACCTTATGTTTTTAGCATCTTCCAGTGAATTACTAGGTTAGTTTGGGTCAAAGTACTTCTGTCCTAACAGCTGCTGATTTTTAAAGGAGGAAGCGTGTCCGACTGACCTGGAATCGACGCATGTCTCGAGGGTTTCCTGCATTTTTTAGGCAATTTTGGTTACATTTGAGGAAAAATTTCAAGAAGAACCTGTGGAGAAAGAGAAATGAACATTAATGTCTTATAAATAGGGTGTAGTCTGTATAAATATGACAGTAATACAAATACAATATCTGCACATTTGGTCCAACAAAGACTTATCAACATCAGTATTCCCTACTCAGACAAATCACCCCCCTGCCCAACCAAAGAAGGAGTGGAGCTTACATAGGCCTGATCTAGCAAAACATCCTGAAAATTTAAACACTAATTTCATAGCTCTGTTGTGTCAGAGCCATTAAAGTTTGCAGAGTCAGTCCCTCTGTCACGCCAGGCTGGCTGTGCCATCCAGAGCAATGAGGAACAGACACGTTTTTCAGCACAGCAAAAAAGGGACAGAAAAATGCTAGACATGAAAATTCCCTTGGGTATAAATGGGGTTTTGTTTTACAAGTTCACTGTCACCCTCAAGTTTTGATTTAATACAAAAATACTGAAAATGTTCCATACAGTTGAAATCTCCCCCCCAGGATTAAACCGAGTTTGTGCATAAAATTAATGCTCCAATAGTGGTTAGTGGAGCCCAAATCCCTGAGAGCAGGGGGAAGCCTTGGTCAAAAGAATGACTTCATAGAAAAATGAAATGTTTTTGATGCAGTCTATTTCCTGACCATACACAGTTCACTGAAGTAGCTATATGACCCTGACATATATCTCTAAGAAAAGACATTGCCTTTTACAAAGCCAAAGAAAAAAGCAAACATTTCACTGAAAATATTTCCTTCAGTGTTATGCATCAGTGGACTGTAAATTCATAAAGACAAGTCAATGAATAATAATGGGTCTCAGATTCCAGGCTTCCTCCCTGAAAGCCAAAGTTTATCAGCCTTTTGTCCAAAATAAACTACAGACTAAGGTCTACTAAAGCTCAGCCATGCAAAGTTTAATCCTCCAGCAAGTTTAAAGCCCAGTGTAACCAGACAAGGCAGCATTACATGTGCAATAACCATCAGTGACTAAGCAGAAGTTCCTCTGCCCTGATCCCACATACAGGAGTGGGGTGGGGAACAGTTTGATCCTGTTTTACTTTAAATCTGAATGCTAACTTTTGCAAGCAGCCTTCTTTTAGCACCCAAACTGAATGCTAGGTCAGCAGAATTTGCACAGACTGTCACCAAGGAAGGCAACACTGCAGGGTAAACAGCTTCAGAAAATCCCTTTTTGATGAGCAGCATTCTTTGCCCTGCTCCAGTTGTGATGCTGCCCCTCAAACAAGGCAAGTTTTGCTGCCTGTTCCTCCATGTCAAGGAAATCATACAAGGCAAACGGCTGCAATGATAAATCGAAACTACGAGGGACTGTTTTCATTAAAGAAATGCAATGTAATGAGGAGGATTATCAAATGTGATGCTTGGGATTATCAAGGACTAGATCTCCTGGCCCAGGAAGTCTCTTCTAGGCCTGAGCTTCTAAATAAGAGCAAGCAGTCCACATAAAATAAACATCCACTGCACTGGAACAGGGGTTTGGAGGCAGTGTTTGTTTAAAGGAAAGAGCAGTGCAAGTCATTGCATTTCTCAATCAAGCAGGTTCTGATATTCAATAATGGAAAGGTGGTGCTATTTGCTGTACATGTGTGTCTTTTTAAGCTGCTAATGGCCAGCTGTGACAGCCTGACTCAGATTGTGTAGAAGGAGCTGTCAGCACAAATCTTGGCATCTCGGATCCAGACAACTGCTTGCCACCAGGCGAGGGTTTGTACTTGTGCCAGAATGGATTTTGAGAGACAAGCAAATAGGGCATTAATTCCGCCAAAGAAAAACGAAAAGTGGGGAGAGTTGGGGATCTTACACTTCAGATGATGGCTTTCCTGTCAACAGCTCATCACTTAGCTCACGAGCTATGAAGGGCACAGACATCAGATCCCTCTTGCCCTAAGCTGGCCCTGTCTCGCGAAACCCTGGCAGGATTCGGAGACCACCCCTCCACACGAGATTGCTCGCTGAAATAAAAAGCCTGGCCATCTGTTCAGAGGCAAAGACATCCCTGTCAGCTGGTGCCTACAGCCTCAAACAGGCCCTTATGTGGCAAAACCTCTCAGAGCCACTCACTCTTTGGGGAGAAGCTGGCGCTGCCCTGGGCTTACTGCAGGATTTTGGCGGCTGCGCCGAGGGCTGAGTCCAGCAGCTGCCCACCCGGTCTGCCATAGCCCCAGAGCAACACCCCAGCCCTGAGGGGAGCTGGGGCATGGAAAAGTTAAAAATAGCTAAAAATTCCTGGTTTGTATTCGCACAGCACACAAATAATGGGCAGTGAAGGTTGGTGGGATGATTAAGGGTTGCCCAAAAAAGATGGAAAACGCTTTGTGAAGCTCTATGGAGAAACACTGGGCCTTCCCTCCCCTTACAAGCTCTGAATTCATGTCAAATCAAAGGCTTGGAAAGTCACTCTGAAATACAAGAGTTTGCTTTTTGGGACAACTCTAACCCAAAGTTTCGCAGTCTAGCTCCATTTGCACTGTTCTATAACCCCCAAAGGCTACAGAAGTTTCACCAAAATAAACTGCAGAAGAAATGAAGCTCATCTGTTTAAACCTACCAAAGAACCTCAGGCAAGCAAGCAAGCAAACAAAACTTCTTTTGAATTAAACCAACGCCAGAAAAAAATTAACTTGCAAAAATAACAGCATTTTCAGAGGAACGCGAAGCTCACACAGCCAAGTTCACTCACTGCATGTTAAGCAAAAAAAAGTCACCAGTTTACAGAACACATTCTGCCAAGTGTCATATTTTAATTCTACTGAAAGACAAAACAAACGATGGGGCTGCACTTTGTTTGGGAACACACCAGGGTTGGAGTCCCCCCGGCCACACGAAGCATCCCACACTGATCCAGGCAAGAGCTGAGCAGCTCCTGGGCTGGCACCACACCCCCAGCTGATGGAACCCCCCCACTGTGGCAGGAAGGAAGATGAGAACAGATTCAGACAAAAGTAGAGCAGAGCAGTTGGATTCATGGGGCTCAGCCCAGGCTCTTGATTCCTGCTTTAGACCAATTGTTCAGGTGCCTTCATCACCTCAAGCCCGGTCCTGCCAGCATTGCTCATTAGCAACACTTCACTCTGCAAATATTTCAGATTTGGATTGACAGCACTGGTCCAGGAGAAGTGCCAAAAGAGCTGAGCTCTTTGTAAGCATAAACCTCCATCCCCATTTGCTTGCATTGAGCTTCTTCACAGTGGGTTATTTTTTTTCAATTCTAACTTTCCCTGCATTTGGCAGGACTGTGTACCATTAATGCTAACCACAGACGATATATAGCATTAATTCTCACTACTGGGGTCTGAAATTCATTCCCAAGATGAAAAAAAAAAAGTGCAAAACACAGGAGTGTCAATAAAATCTTCAACTCTCTCTCCAAACTTATGTGACTGCTGAACACCCGCTCTTCTGCCACACAGGAGTCAGTCATCAATTATCCTTATTGCTACCATTGAAGGTTTGGGGTTTTTTTCATGAATCAACCAAAACATATTTTCTGACTCTCTTCCTGACTACTACCATTCCTGGTGTGAAGAGCATTTGTGCATGTGGAGCACAGAAACACAATCCAGCTCCATGCAAGTCAGCTCAGGTCCAGGAACAAAACCTTTCACTGGTATTAAACCAGAGAATTCCATGCATCACCTTTACCCCACAGAGACATGGCTGGAGTGTAAGGAAGGGAAGTTTGGGGGGAAAGCAGTTAAGTTTAGTTTATATTTAGGTGTCCTACGATGCTGCTCAGGGCAGGCTGCAAAAACTGCTGAGAGAGTGAAGTTGCTGAGCAGTTAATCTGTGCCATGCATGCACTACAAATCCCTGAGTAACTGCAAGGTCCAGAGTAGAAATACATCCTCTGCTTAAATACAAACCCCTGGGCTGAATTAGGCCCCAAACTAATGTGAACTTCTGTCTGCCATGCAAAAGCCCTAAAAACGTGCTATTGGCTGTTGGGAATGTTCTCTCCTTTTCTCACAATTCAATGGAAATTCCATTTTTGGAGATGAAGTTGTGGGTTTTTCCCTAACAAAACTGCTGCATTTTGAAAAAGATGTTGGTGCCAGTAGGGCTGTGCTCTCACCCTCTGCTAGGAAGGAACTCTACCCCAGGCCTTGTTCCTACTGTTACTTCCAGCTCCCCAAACCAGCTCAGGAGTCCTCACTCCTGCCCCATCCATCCGCTGTTTGTCCTTGTTCCACTGATGGATCTGGTGAGCACAAGACCAGCTGGAAGTCACTCCACTTGTTTAAAATATTCCCTGCCACTCCCTGCTGGCCTCATTTTCCATCACACACCAAACCTTTTGGGTTTGTGCAACACCTTCCCAGCAGCATCCTGCTCTTTGCCGCTACCACAGGGATTTAAACTAAACCCACAGCAGAAATAGAAATAATGAAGATGTAAGAGGATTTTGCCTTCCTGCTTTTCTTGCCACTACAAATTAATACTGATGTTTATTAAAAATAACTGAAGAGTTAAATTAAAGAAAGCAAGCTCTGACATGATCTACGTTGGCTCTTCTGTCACTCCCCTGAAGGAAATTTAAAGGAACTCAAACACGAAGGCTTAGCAGTAGGATTTTCTTGCCATTGCCACAATAAATATGTCTGTGGAAGGAGAAAAAAATAGTTGGAAAGAAGACCTGCTGCATTCCTGATGCTGAAGAAAAGCTTGTTTGTTCCTGATACATTGGAGAAGTTGTTCAAGAACAGTTCCTCCATGTGAAAATACGACAGCTGTCATGGTGCCAAGGTCAGCCAGACCAGTGGCTATCCAGAGTGAGTGCTGGTTATACAGCTCAGACCTGGCTGGGGCAAACAAAACTGACAGAACACACCTTTTCTGTGCTGTAAACACATTTGATAGAAAAAGGGCAACTTCAGACTGCTGGATGAAACACAGCAGCAAGTATATGTGGGTTTGTAAAATTAGTAAAACCAAAATACACAGGGCCAGGGCAATAATTAGCAACTTTCCATCAGATAAAAGGATTGCATGCCCATTCTGTAC